CTTTTTTCCCCCTCTGTTGTCATGCTGATCTGGTCAGTAACACAGCTTCCTGTATTAGAGCGCCTCAACTCTGGAGGAAGAAACACAGGAGGTACAGCAGCATTGTCATTCTGGGGGGAGGGAAGTGTTAGATATACTAGCAGATTTAAATACACTAACAAATGGAAGACGAAGTCCGTACATTATAATCAGTTACAGCAGTTTATTTTCTTTTGGGGAAAATGTTTTACAAAAAGAAATACAAGCTGACCACTGCAAGCACCCCTGGAAGTGTTAAATGGTTTTGTTTCATCTCTGGAACTGACACATTCTGCTGGAGAGTTTGTGCTTTTGAAAAACAACAGATGGACTGGCTGATCACCAGATGAAAATAGAAGAAAAAAAGCCTTGGGGCCGGTTCACACTCCATGCAATTCAGTTGCTTTTTTTCTGCATCCAAAACGCACAGAAATTAGGTGATATGGTGGTCAGTGTCATAGTTCACATCAGTGCTTGCAGTTCCAGGGCATTGCGGGTGCAGAAAAAAACTGGCGGCATTTTTTCTGCACAGAACTGTACTGGAACGTGGTAAAACGTATAAAAAAAAGCCACCAGAATGCACCAAAAACGCACTGGAACGCACATGTCCCAATTTGAATTGAAGAAAAAGAGGGGGGAAAAAATGAACTGGAATTCATAAAAAACGCACTGGAACGCACCAAAAACATGCACGCAAAAACGCATCTGGAGCGCATAAAAAACGTGCACACAAAAACGCAGCTGGAACACACCAAAAACGTGCATGCAAAATCACATCTAGAACGCAAAAATGCATCCGGAACGCACCAAAAACGTGCACGCAAAAACGCATCCGGAACGCACCAGAAACCTGCACACAAAAATGCAGCTGGAACACACTAAAAATGTGCACGCAAAATCACATCCAGAACGCAAAAACGCATCCAGAACGCACCAAAAACGAGCATGCAAAAATGCATCTGGAACGCACCAAAAACGTGCACGCAAAAACGCATTCGGAATGCAAAAATGCACCTGGAACGCACCAAAAACGTGCACGCAAAAACACATTCGGAATGCAAAAATGCATCTGGAACGCACAAAAACGCATCCAGAGCGCATCAAAAATGTGCACGCAAAAACGCATCTGGAATGCAAAAATGCAACCGGAACGCACCAAAAACATGCACGCAAAAACGCATCCGGAATGCAAAAATGCATCCGGAACGCACCAAAAACGGTCACGCAAAAACACATCTGGAACACACCAAAAACGTGCACACAAAAACGCATCCAGAATGCAAAAATGCATCTGGAACGCACCAAAAACGTGCACTCAAAAATGCATCTGAAACGCATCTGGACTGTTTTTTATATAGTGTGATCCGACCCTAAAAGAGAACTACTGCAGCCGTCACATCTAATGCCCCGTACACACGATAAGAAAATCGTACAAAAAATTTCACGGAACCGCTGATGGAACGATCTTCTCTTGGTTGATGAGCGGGATGCTTTAACTGATAATATTGTGAACGAAAAAATCCGGTTGAACATCAGTGAAAAATGTTGACGTTTCGCATACGAACGACTGATTTTCTATGCGGTGGTAAGACGGTCATACGCAAAAAATCTATCAAGCGCTATCACGCTGCGGGAAAAGAAGATGACCCGGATGTTGATGTCCAAGGAATCTTCATATACACGAACGAAAAATCCAAATGTTAAAAGTCGATTGGCCGAATGAGATGATGAAACCCGAATTGTGCAGATTATATTTTATGTATCACTATTTATGTATATAGGTCATGGAATAAACGATATTATACTCATTGCTGGTCATTGTTGTGTATATCGATCGTTCTGGCCGGAAGGGCGTGGCTACAAGGTCACACGCACACCGCATCACTTCCACTTGTACGGAAGACGTCAACACTACATTTTGCCCGACGAACGATTTTTTTAGATTGGTTAACGTGGGCCACGATTTCGATGAACGAACGCCTCTCAGTCATCGGATGGCCGATCGGTCGATTTTCTAAACGTGTATTCCCACCTTTAATTCCGCTTTTAACCACCTCCCGTCCGGCCGTTGTATATAAATGGCCGGACGGTGGCAGTGCAGGGGCGGGTGGCCATTTATAAATGGCCTCCACGACCCCTGCTTGTGCGCGCTCCCTTGGAGAACGCAACACTGCGATCCGGTGCCCGCTGTGTCCTCCACCGACCATTGTACGGGACCTCTGTGCGAGATCCCGATCATGTGATCACTGATTGGCCAATCAGTGATCACATGCAGAGTAGTAAGCAAGATATCACTTCTGACATCATTGCTTACTACGTGTGAAATCTGTGAATGATCACAGAGATCACATGGTACAAGGCTATTCACAACAGCCTTGTACCATGTGACAAACTGTGACCAATCACAGCTCACACAGTATTTCTCAATGGTTGCAAGAATGCAGCCAGAGAGAAGGAGAAATGATTGCTTTTACAGCCTTTATGGGTGTAAAAGCAATCCGTGTAAAAAATAAAAATCTTCATCACCCCCCACAAGTAGTACAGTGTCACCATGGTCACCACTGCTAAAACAACAAAAAAAACATTAATAATATAAACAAAATAAAAATGTAAAAAAAAGTTAAAAAATTATAATTTTTGGTTATAAACGAATTTGGGTTTTTTTTTACTAAACAGATAACGGAATGAATTTTGGCCAAGATTTATGATGACATTTTATTTATTTGCAAAATTTTATAAGAAAAACACTTTTTTTTTTAATTTTTGGACTTTTTAATTTACATAGCAAAAAAAATAAATACCACCAAAATAAAGTTTTATCTGTCTCAAAAAAATGCTAAAAAAAAATTCATATGGGTACAGTGTTGCATGACCGCGCAATTGTCATTCAAAGTGTGATAGCGCTGAAAGCTGGAAATTGCCCTGGACAGGGAGGGGGTGAAAGTGTCCGGACAGGGAGGGGGGGAAAGTGTCCAGACTGGAAGGGGCTGAAAGTGTCCAGACTGGAAGGGGCTGAAAGTGTCCGGACTGGAAGGGGCTGAAAGTGTCCAGACTGGAAGGGGGGGGAAAGTGTCCGGACTGGAAGGGGGGGAAAGTGTCCGGACAGGGAGGGGGGGAAAGTGTCCGGACTGGAAGGGGGTGAAAGTGTCCGGACTGGAAGGGGGTGAAAGTGTCCGGACTGGAAGGGGGGGAAAGTGTCCGGACTGGGAGGGGGGGAAAGTGTCCGGACTGGAAGGGGGTGAAAGTGTCCGGACTGGAAGGGGGTGAAAGTGTCCGGACTGGAAGGGGGGAAAGTGTCCGGACTGGAAGGGGGTGAAAGTGTCCGGACTGGAAGGGGGTGAAAGTGTCCGGACTGGAAGAGGGGGAAAGTGTCCGGGCTGGAAGTGGTTAAAAAAAAAAAACGAAAAAAAAAAGTTTGCTGTAGGCTCCATTCACACTTGTGCAACTTCAAAACCGTGCAATTTTCATTGTTATTTTACAGTGCGACTTTGATGTGGCTTTGGCCAAGGACGGTTGTGTGTGCTCAACACAGTCACATGTATATCATTCAGGTGTGACTTTGGAGGGTTTACATTGAAGTCTATGGCCCTCGGGTCGCATGAACGTCGGACCAACGTAGTGCAGGAACCACTTTCAAGTCGCTGCGGCTGTGAAGTCCCACAGATATGAATGGAACTTGGAAAACATGAGGTGCGACTGGTTGTGCCACTTTGGACTCCACTTAATATATGTTTTTTTTAAATACAAAAGACACGTTGGGGTGTTTTTATTAAAAAAAAAAAAAAAAAAAAATGCATAGCTGTTTGTCCAATGAGACGTCCTGTAACGTCAAATGTCGCATAATCGAATGTTCTCAGGCTATATTCTGTGCAGATCGAAAGTGTAACAATACCACATCATGGCCACTAGATGGCAATGACTATCAAAAGAAAGACGTATGCCCCTCAGCACCATCTAGTGGCCATAATAGGGTATTTCTCCCATTCGCACATTCAATCTGCAGACAGAATAGCCCGAGAACATTTGATTTTGTCCAAATCGTACAGAACAAATGTATTTTTTATTAAATGTAATTTCAATACCTTAATGCAACGCACACATGCAACATACCATGTCCTATCTTTGGTGTCACTGGGCCCCATTTTTGGTGTCATTGGTCGAAAGTGCACCCCATCATTGGTGTCATTAGGAAGAATTGTGTCCTATCTTTGGTGTCATTGGGAGAATTTGTGCCCCATCATTGGCGTAGTTGGGAGGAATTTTGCCCCTTCATTGGTGTCAGTGGGGGGAATTATGCCCCTTTGTTGGTATCAGTGGATGGAACAGTGCCCCAAGGGCCAGATAAAAGCAGGCAAAGGGCCACATCTGGCCCCTGGGCCGCAGTTTTGAGACCACTGTCTTAATCTAACCACAGCCACCCAGTTCACTGATCACTGGGTAGTGCTCATTTGTGGGAGGGGCAAGTGAACAGTGCCGTTTTACTAGATCCGTGTAGTCTACCCCCTAGCTCCACCCCCTTTGTCCCCCAAATCGCAACATAACGTCACGGCTGCTGTAAAACAAAGAACGATCCCCCTTCCTGGGGTGGATCCAGGAGCTACAAAAGAAGCATCTAAAACGATCGATATATTGATGCCATCCCCCTCCCCCCTTCAAATAATGGATCTGGTAATTTTGGTTGCCCCGCCCCTCCCCCATAGCCATCCTGGGTGTCAGAGAGTGAGAACTTATTACAGTCATTTGGCGCCACCTAGCTGTGAAGGGAAGTAACAGGACTTTAATTGCATTCAAATGGAACTTTAAATGATTTTAAACATTGTAGACTTTATTGTTACATAGTTACAGGATCATTATTGGTGAGGATCGTTAGTGATCACATGACCGCTTCTGGGCGTTCTACACCCGCGGGAGGCCACTTGAGGTAGGACCCCCAGCGATCGGGGGAAGGGCGGAGTACCGTTGGGGACATGGCTGTCACATGGTCACTTTCTTAGCTCATTCACCGCATCCATAAATGCCACGACCTTGTCATAATTCACCGCGTTCCGCCAGTCTCCGCCATCTTTAAAGTGCGATCCGATGATTAAGCCGTTGGCGTCGATGTAATTCTTCACGTTGTCCGCCGTCACCCCGGATCCAATCAGCACCGGAATCTGAACCGATCGCTGGATCTCTACAATGGGAAGGTGGATCCTTGGAGTCAGCAACCCAATGGAAACAGGCAATGTGATTGGTTCATTCATCATTTACAGCATGGATGGAAAGCAGTGGTGACCAATGTGAAAATATTGGGGCCCCTGACCCTTCCAGAGGGCCACACAACAGTCGTGTGTTTCTGTGCTCTGAAGTGCATTGTGCTGAGTTAGGAAGCCTGCTGGGCAGTCATTTTTTTTTCTGCAACATACAGTAATGTACACCGTAGGAGCAAGTGGGAGTGATCATTGGTATCAATGGACTCAATAATAACCCCCAGCATTGGTGTCAGTGAGCACAATAATAACCCCCAGCATTGGTGTCAGTGAGCACAATAATAACCCCCAGCATTGGTATCAATGGACTCAATAATAACCCCCAGCATTGGTGTCAGTGAGCACAATAATAACCCCCAGCATTGGTGTCAGTGAGCACAATAATAACCCCCAGCATTGGTGTCAGTGAGCACAATAATAACCCCCAACATTGGTGTCAGTGAGCACAATAATAACCCCCAGCATTGGTGTCAGTGAGCACAATAATAACCCCCAGCATTGGTGTCAGTGAGCACAATAATAACCCCCAACATTGGTGTCAGTGAGCACAATAATAACCCCCACATTGGTGTCAGTGAGCACAATAATAACCCCCAACATTGGTGTCAGTGAGCACAATAATAACCCCAATATTGGTGTCCGTGAGCACAATAAATAACCCCCAGCATTGGTGTCAGAGATCATAATAATAACCTCCAATAGTGGTGTCAGTGAGCACAATAAAAAAAACTCAATATTGGTGTCAGTGACCACATTAATAACCCCCAGTATTGGTGTCAGTGACCACAATAATAACCCCCAGCATTGGTGTCAGTGATCACAAAAATAACCCCCAAAGTTGGTGTCAGTGACCACAAAAATAACCCCAATATTGGCATCAGTGATCACAAAAATAACCCCCAGAAATGGTGTCAGTGACCACATTAATAACCCCCCAGCATTGGTGTCAGTGACCACAATAATAACCCCCAGCATTGGTGTCAGTGAACACAATAATAACCCCCCAGCATTGGTGTCAGTGACCACAATAATAACCCCCAGCATTGGTGTCAGTGAACACAATAATAACCCCCAGCAATGGTGTCAGTGACCACAATAATAACCCCCAGCATTGGTATCAGTGACCACATTAATAACCCCCCAGCCTTGGTGTCAGTGACCATAAAAAATAACCCCCAATATTGGTGTCAGTGTCCACAAAAATAACCCCCAACGTTGGTGTCAGTAACCACAATAATAACCCCCAGCATTGGTATCAGTGACCACATTAATAACCCCCCAGCATTGGTGTCAGTGACCACAAAAATAACCCCCAATATTGGTGTCAGTGACCACAAAAATAACCCCCAACGTTGGTGTCAGTGACCACAATAATAACCCCCAGCATTGGTGTCAGTGGACGCAATACCAACCCCCACCATTGGTTTCAGTGGACACAATAATAACCCCCAACATTGGTGTCAGTGAGCATCAAGTAATATCCCCCAGCATTGGTTTCAGTGACCACAATAATAACCCCCAGCACTGGTGTCAGTGATCACAATAATTACCCCCAGCATTGGTGTCAGTGGTGTCAGTGATCACAATAATAACCCCCAGCATTGGTGTCAGTGACCACATTAATAACCCCCCAGCATTGGTGTCAGTGACCACAAAAATAACCCCCAACGTTGGTGTCAGTAACCACAATAATAACCCCCAGCATTGGTATCAGTGACCACATTAATAACCCCCCAGCATTGGTGTCAGTGACCACAAAAATAACCCCCAATATTGGTGTCAGTGACCACAAAAATAACCCCCAACGTTGGTGTCAGTGACCACAATAATAACCCCCAGCATTGGTGTCAGTGGACGCAATACCAACCCCCACCATTGGTTTCAGTGGACACAATAATAACCCCCAACATTGGTGTCAGTGAGCAAAGTAATATCCCCCAGCATTGGTTTCAGTGACCACAATAATAACCCCCAGCACTGGTGTCAGTGGATGCAATAAAAGCCGCCAACATGGGTGTCAGTGGCATTGCTGTTGACCCCTCACTGTGGAGGTCTGCGTTGGGTCCTCACTAATATAAAGGATCAGAAATGAGATCTTCTGACTGCTGGGAATAATCATTATTGCCGGAAACAATTTTCAGGATGCTGGAAAGTCTCCTTCCATCTGGCAGCTAATCGTTCACCTACCTGTGGAGAAAAGGGAATGTAGCTTGTACTACAAATCTGCCATTAATACGTTCATGGGTCTCAGTGACACCAAAGAACAAGCAGAGATCTCATCCTCCTGCCCTCCATACTCCATCTCTGGGAGAACGGACATTACTGTGTATTGTACATCGGGAATATCTCATCTTGTATTACCTCGGAGTTCTCTGGGATCCGCCTCCTGTCCTGTGGCCACTCCGGTCACTATCAGTCCATCGGAGAGGAAGAACTCTGCAGCCTTTGCCGTCTCTGACACCGAGACATCCGCTGTTATCGCATGGGAGCTGATGGGGGCAGTACAGGCAATGGTCCATTAGAAGAACACGATAGTATATATCAAAAAGCCAAACAACTAATTCGGGAGCTGAAATACATACACAGGAACTGCCAAAGGATCGGTAACTGCGTCCATCCAGTCCTGAGATTTACACAGCTCTGCTGACAGTACTTAACGTTAGTGGTCAGATTTTTCCTCCACCGCAGCTTGGTCACCTTGCATCCCCTAGCCTGTGATTGGGCAGTGGAGGAGCACAGGCAGGCCATCCCCCTGCTCTTTCCTCCTGTCAGCATGTTTATGCAGCACACATTATTTATTTATTATTTATTTCAGGTACTTATATAGTGCTGTCAATTTACGCAGCACTTTACCTATATATTGTACATTCACATCAGTCCCCGCCCCCGAGGAGCGTAAAATCTAAGGTCCCTAACTCACATTCATACATACACATACTAGGGACAATTTAGACAGGAGCCAATTTACCTACCAGCATGTCTTTGGAGTGTGGGAGGAAACCGGAGTACCCAGAGGAAACCCACACAGGCACAGGGAGAACATGCAAACTCCAGGCAGGTGGTGCCGTGGTTGGGATTTGAACCTGCAACCCGAGTACTGCCAGGCGGAAGTGCTAACCATTTAGCCACCGTGCTGCCCACATGACTGTCTCAGTGTTCTGCCCCTCCCCCCCTGAAACTGCAATCCGCAACCTTGCTGTCTATGAGCTCAGGCTGTCACGGACCCGTCACCTGAGGTCACGTCATCACGCCAGCCTGGGCTCACCAGAGAACCCTGCAAAGAGCGACACCCCCTTATATGTTAGCATTCTGGACCCGCCCACCTTTAATGAGGAGGATCTGTGAGGTCACATGATTTGACCCAAAAAAAAAAAAAGGTATATAATTTGTTTTATAACATAAGCACAGAGGACAAGGGGGCGCTCTTTTACGTCTGGAGGAAAAGAAATGTCATCTCCAAACACGGAAAGGTTTCTTCACAGTAAGAGCTGTGAGAATGTGGAATAGACTCCCTCAAGAGTTGGTTGTGGGCAGCTCAGTGGATTGCTGTAGGAAAGTCCTGGATCCTTTCTTGGATACACAGAATATAACTGGATATAACATTTATAGGGAAAGTTGATCCAGGGAATATCCGATTGCCTCTCGGGGGATCAGGAAGGATTTTTTTCGCCTGCAGGAGCAAATTGGATTTTTTTTCCTTCCTCTGGATCAACTGTAGGTGTAGGATTATAACTTTTTTTTAACGGTTGAACTGGATGGACTTTTGTCTTTTTTCAGCCAGACTAACTATGTATAAGCAGGGCGGGGTCTGCGCCAAGGGGAGGAGACAAATATGGTATGGATCGGTGACCTTGCAGCATTGACATCAGATAAGTAGCCAGGCAATCATCATTTCCAGCCATTGCCGGCCTCCATATTTCTAGGACAGGTTTGCACGGATTACCTGTGTTTTTTCTTAATGTCGGTAAATATTTGGATGCGTTCGGCTCCGATGGCTTTGCGGTATCGCAGAAGGTCTCCGGCGCAGGCGTTCACCATCCCCTCGTCAGCGACATGCGAGAAGACGAAGCCCTCGGCTCGGATAAAGTCTAGTCCTGGAACGCAAATGAATGGAGCGCTAAACATTCATTCCATGTTGGCCAACGTAGGCGGGCTCATGTGTCACATGACCGTCATATGCCTTTAAGTGTTCTCTATATTTTGTCTCTGCTCCTCCCTTTCCTCTGGTTAGTTCTTGCTGTATAGATAGCCCCACCCCTTTTCCCAGTAATGCATTTCAGCAAGCCTCATGTCTCATGAAGCACAGCACATTATGATCTTTTGACCTATCAGATGTTCATTGTTGTAAGATTCTCTCAGTTTATGGAAAAAATTTCACAAGATCTACAAGATGTCTTCTGGATCGAGTCACTGCCTGTGATATTCAGCTAAGATTGGAGTTATCGCTATCTCATCACAACTGTAAGTTACAGAGATCACACTTTCAATGCTTAGATTGGAGAGACAGAACAAGGAGAGTGTTCTAACAGGGAGGACGATGGATCACAGAGAGTGCGCACTTCACCCCTCCTCTCAGTGTCATCGATCCAGCTACCAGCCTGATTCCAAACTATACTAGCTGGCCTAACCTGTGACTGATTTTATCTCAGCAGTCATTCTGCAAGGATGCTAACGGCAGCTATACTTTTCTATTGGAAATACAGTCAGGCAGTGAACAGCACAAAGGGTATAAGACGTCAATTAAGAAAAGATTTTAAAACGTATAATAATCCCAGATAGAGGGATGTGCAGTGTAGTGTTTACATGACACCCGTCCTCCCGCTCCCCGCCCCCCCGCCCCCTCTCGCTCTGTGTATTGTGAGCAGGATTGAGGTCAGACAAGAGAGACAAGTTCTTACACCAAAATAAAGAGCCAATCGGGATTCTATGGGATAAAAACAAACATTACCATCACAATGCACTGCAGAGGAGGAAGCCGCATATATATAGTACAGTGTATACAGTATATAGGTGTGTCCTGTATACAAAGACTTGATGAATAGATCTGTCACCCCTCCCTAGTGAATGAATAGGCTGCATTCTCAGTGATGTCATCCCTCTCTAGTGAAGGGATAGGCTGCTCTCTCGGGTGATGTCATTGCTCTCTAGTGAATGGATAGGCTGCGTTCTCAGTGATGTCATCCCTCTCTAGTGATTGGATAGGTTGCATTCTCAGTGATAACAATGCTCTCTAGTGAAGGGATAGGCTGCTCTCTCAGTGATGTCATTGCTCTCTAGTGAATGGATAGGCTGCGTTCTCAGTGATGTCATCGCTCTCTAGTGAATGGATAGGCTGCTTTCTCGGTGATGTCACCGCTCTCTAGTGAAGGGATAGGCTGCATTCTCAGTGATGTCATCCCTCTCTAGTGAAGGGATAGGCTGCTCTCTCGGTGATGTCATTGCTCTCTAGTGAATGGATAGGCTGCGTTCTCAGTGATGTCATCCCTCTCTAGTGAATGGATAGGTTGCATTCTCAGTGATAACAATGCTCTCTAGTGAAGGGATAGGCTGCTCTCTCGGTGATGTCATTGCTCTCTAGTGAATGGATAGGCTGCGTTCTCAGTGATGTCATCGCTCTCTAGTGAATGGATAGGCTGCTTTCTCGGTGATGTCACCGCTCTCTAGTGAAGGGATAGGCTGCGTTCTCAGTGATGTCATCGCTCTCTAGTGAATGGATAGGCTGCGTTCTCAGTGATGTCATCGCTCTCTAGTGAATGGATAGGCTGCTTTCTCGGTGATGTCACCGCTCTCTAGTGAAGGGATAGGCTGCATTCTCAGTGATGTCATCGCTCTCTAGTGAATGGATAGGCTGCATTCTCAGTGATGTCATCGCTCTCTAGTGAAGGGATAGGCTGCATTCTCAGTGATGTCGTCGCTCTCTAGTGAATGGATAGGCTGCATTCTCAGTGATGTCATCGCTCTTTAGTGAATGGATAGGCTGCATTCTCAGTGATGTCACCACTCTCTAGTGAATGGATAGGCTGCATTCTCAGAGATGTCACCGCTCTCTAGTGAAGGGATAGGCTGCATTCTCAGTGATGTCATCGCTCTCTAGTGAATGGATAGGCTGCTCTCTCAGTGATGTCATGCTCTCTAGTGAATGGATAGGCTGCGTTCTCAGTGATGTCATCGCTCTCTAGTGAATGGATAGGCTGCTTTCTCAGTGATGTCACCGCTCTCTAGTGAATGGATAGGCTGCGTTCTCAGTGATGTCATCGCTCTCTAGTGAATGGATAGGCTGCGTTCTCAGTGATGTCATCGCTCTCTAGTGAATGGATAGGCTGCTTTCTCGTGATGTCACCGCTCTCTAGTGAAGGGATAGGCTGCATTCTCAGTGATGTCATCGCTCTCTAGTGAATGGATAGGCTGCATTCTCAGTGATGTCATCGCTCTCTAGTGAAGGGATAGGCTGCATTCTCAGTGATGTCGTCACTCTCTAGTGAATGGATAGGCTGCATTCTCAGTGATGTCATCGCTCTTTAGTGAATGGATAGGCTGCATTCTCAGTGATGTCACCACTCTCTAGGGAATGGATAGGCTGCGTTCTCAGAGATGTCACCGCTCTCTAGTGAAGGGATAGGCTGCATTCTCAGTGATGTCATTGCTCTCTAGTGAATGGATAGGCTGCTGTTCTCAGTGATGTCATCGCTCCTCTAGTGAATGGATAGGCTGCTTTCTCGGTGATGTCACCGCTCTCTAGTCAGTGGGGATAGGCTGCGTTCTCAGTGATGTCATCGCTCTCTAGTGAATGGATAGGCTGCGTTCTCAGTGATGTCATCGCTCTCTAGTGAATGGATAGGCTGCTTTCTCGGTGATGTCACCGCTCTCTAGTGAAGGGATAGGCTGCATTCTCAGTGTCAGTGATGTCATCGCTCTCTAGTGAATGGATAGGCTGCATTCTCAGTGATGTCATCGCTCTCTAGTGAAGGGATAGGCTGCATTCTCAGTGATGTCGTCACTCTCTAGTGAATGGATAGGCTGCATTCTCAGTGATGTCATCGCTCTTTAGTGAATGGATAGGCTGCATTCTCAGTGATGTCACCACTCTCTAGTGAATGGATAGGCTGCGTTCTCAGAGATGTCACCGCTCTCTAGTGAAGGGATAGGCTGCATTCTCAGTGATGTCGTCGCTCTCTAGTGAATGGATAGGCTGCATTCTCAGTGATGTCATCGCTCTTTAGTGAATGGATAGGCTGCATTCTCAGTGATGTCACCACTCTCTAGTGAAGGGATAGGCTGCATTCTCAGTGATGTCATCGCTCTCTAGTGAATGTATAGGCTGCATTTCTCAGTGATGTCATCGCTCTCTAGTGAATGGATAGGTTGCGTTCTCAGTGATGTCATCGCTCTCTAGTGAATGGATAGGATTGCGTTCTCAGTGATGTCACCGCTCTCTAGTGAATGGATAGGCTGCTTTCTCAGTGATGTCATCGCTCTCTAGTGAATGGATAGGCTGCATTCTCAGTGATGTCACAGAAGAGAATTCAGACGAGGTTTTCAGTGGACATTAGTGGTGTGTAAGGAATGATGGGAATTTAACACAGAGAATGATCACCGGGCTATCCACGTACCTACTGCATGGGCCACAGCGAGCGCTTGTTGGTTGGCACAGGCGAGAATCTGGACCCCTAGAGGAAGGTCAGGGCAGGTCTGGCGGATGGCGGCACACACAGCAGCCATGGACGCCGTAATTTCTGGTCCGACGTTCAGGGTGTACGGGGTGTCATGCATGTTCTCCACTATGAGGCCGTCCTGACAAGAGAAAATCACCGACATCAGCACTTCGCCCAACAATCCAAAGGCCATGTCACGGTCCGTACAATGTCACCGTCACAGTCCCAGCGCTGGATCAACAATCAGAGTCCAGGGGGATCTCTGTGTCACCAGCGGCTCTGACAACCGCCAACTCGTGCATCTGATCAGAGGCAGCCGGGACTGTGCAGGACATGAATGTCTCTAACAGATCCCCCATTTATATACAATGACTGCGCCGCCGACTCTGTTGGAGCCATTTCAGGCTAACAAAGGCTGACAGCAGTCAGAGAAATGGAAGTGCCATTACCTACTTGTTCAATAAGCTCCAGGGCTGACCCTTTGCTTTGCTACATATTAAGTCATTCCATTGGAACAAGCATGCGCACAGTGAAGTCAGAACTACCCTCCTGTTTACAGGTTATCACTGGTGTCAGTGGGAGGAATAGTGTCCCATCATTGGTATCAGTGGGAGGAATAGTGCCCCATCATTTGTGTCAGTGGGAGGAATGGTGCCCCATCATTGGTGTCAGTGGGGGAAATAGTGCCCCATCATTGGTGTCAGTGGGAGAAATAGTGCCCCATCATTGGTATCAGTGGGAGGAATAGTGCCCCATCATTGGTGTCAGTGGGAGGAATAGTGCCCATCATTGGTGTCAGTGGGAGGAATAGTGCCCCAACATTGGTATCAGTGGGAGGAAGAGTGCCCCATCATTGGTGTCAGTGGGAGGTAGTGCCCATCATTGGTGTCAGTGGGAGGAATAGTGCCCATCATTGGTGCCAGTGGGAGGAAATAGTGCCCCATCATTGGTGTCAGTGGGAGGAATAGTCCCATCATTGGTGTCAGTGGGAGGAATAGTGTCCCCATCATTGGTGTCAGTGGGAGGAATAGTGCCCCATCATTGGTGTCAGTGGGAGGAATAGTGCCCCATCATTGGTATCAGTGGGAGGAAATAGTGCCCCATCATTGGTGTCAGTGGGAGGAATAGTTCCCATCATTGGTGTCAGTGGGAGGAATAGTTCTCCATCATTGGTATCAGTGGGAGGAATAGTGCCCCATCATTGGTGTCAGTGGGAGGAATAGTGTCCCATCATTGGTGTCAGTGGGAGGAATAGTGCCCCATCATTGGTATCAGTGGGAGGAATAGTGCCCCATCATTGGTGTCAGTGGGAGGAATAGTGCCCCATCATTGGTGTCAGTGGGAGGAATAGTTCCCATCCATTGGTCAGTGGGAGGAATAGTGCCCCATCATTGGTGTCAGTGGGAGGAATAGTGTCCCATCATTGGTGTCAGTGGGAGGAATAGTGCCCCCATCATTGGTGTCAGTGGGAGGAATAGTGCCCCATCATTGGTGTCAGTGGGAGGAATAGTGCCCCATCATTGGTGTCAGTGGGAGGAATAGTTCTCCATCATTGGTGTCAGTGGGAGGAATAGTTCTCCATCATTGGTGTCAGTGGGAGGAATAGTGCCCCATCATTGGTGTCAGTGGGAGGAATAGTTCCCATCATTGGTATCAGTGGGAGGAATAGTTCTCCATCATTGGTGTCAGTGGGAGGAATAGTCTCCATCATTGGTGTCAGTGGGAGGAATAGTTCTCCATCATTGGTGTCAGTGGGAGGAATAGTTCTCCATCATTGGTGTCAGTGGGAGGAATAGTGCCCCATCATTGGTGTCAGTGGGAGGAATAGTTCTCCATCATTGGTGTCAGTGGGAGGAATAGTGCCCCATCATTGGTGTCAGTGGGAGGAATAGTGCCCCATCATTGGTGTCAGTGGGAGGAATAGTTCTCCATCATTGGTATCAGTGGGAGGAATAGTTCTCCATCATTGGTGTCAGTGGGAGGAATAGTGCCTCATCATTGGTGTCAGTGGGAGGAATAGTTCTCCATCATTGGTGTCAGTGGGAGGAATAGTGCCCCATCATTGGTGTCAGTGGGAGGAATAGTGCCCCATCATTGGTGTCAGTGGGAGGAATAGTTCTCCATCATTGGTATCAGTGGGAGGAATAGTTCTCCATCATTGGTGTCAGTGGGAGGAATAGTGCCCCATCATTGGTGTCAGTGGGAGGAATAGTTCTCCATCATTGGTGTCAGTGGGAGGAATAGTGCCCCATCATTGGTGTCAGTGGGAGGAATAGTGCCCCATCATTGGTGTCAGTGGGAGGAATAGTTCTCCATCATTGGTGTCAGTGGGAGGAATAGTGCCCCATCATTGGTGTCAGTGGGAGGAATAGTGCCCCATCATTGGTGTCAGTGGGAGGAATAGTTCTCCATCATTGGTGTCAGTGGGAGGAATAGTGTCCCAGGGGAGGAGCCGGTACAACTGTACAAGACTGAAGGGGAGGAGCTGGTACAGCTGTGCAAGACTGAAGGGGAGGAGCCGGTACAGCTGTGCAACACTGAAGGGGAGGAGCCGATACAACTGTATGAGACTGAAGGGGAGGAGCCGGTACACCTGTGCGAGACTGAAGGGGAGGAGCCACTACAACTGCGAGACTGAAGGGGAGGAGCCGGTACAACTGTGTGAGACTGAAGGGGAGGAGCCGGTACAACTGTGTAAGATTGAAGGGGAGGAGCCGCTACAAATGTACAAGACTGGAGGGAAGGCTGGAGAAGGCAAAAGAAGAAATGACCACACCTCTGCTGTAGTAGGAGGAGCCAGACTCCAAGCTGGGCGGGAACAGACCCAGGCAGGAGATCTTACTGCTGCCATTCCCCAGCAGACATAAGGAGCCATCATGAGCCCCACAACACGTCATGTGACCTGCGAGGCGAGACCCGTTAACCCTTACAATGCCGGCCTTCTTGTAGAGTTCCGCTTCCCTGCACGACTCCTCCTCAATCTGAGCCACCGACAGCCCGCCACCAGGAGTGCCTAATGGGATTGGAAAGACGGAGGAAGGTGAGTGGGGAAATCACACAGATATCACTCAGTTCATGTAGAGGAGGAGCACCTACCCGGCAACGCCCGGAGGTGCACCATGCCAATGACGACCGACTTCAGCCTGCCAAAGAGCTGCAAAAACTTCATGGCCTGGAATGAGAAAATAATGTGTCTGAGTAACCCTTCCAGGTATTTATTACCCCAACCCCCCCCCCACCCAAAGATTTCATAGTTCTCCCCCTTGACAGTGCCTTCATCTGTTTTTCTCTCCACAAGGACGACGCCATCTTTTTTTCAGGCATCATTCAACGTCATCATCTACTTTGTGGACAGAAATGCTGGCTAAGAGAAAGACACAGTCATGTAAATACTGGTGCCTGTGCAGTTCTTGGCTGTGTTCACAAACATTTGACACAGATCAGCCCCTGCTGATAAAAAGTTACAATGTACAGATCGCTGGGGGGGGGGGGGGGGGACTGGGGAAATGCTTTCTCCTGCCTGCAGCAGACTGATGACATCATCTCAGCATAGGCAAAGGCTCTGGACTGGAGCTCAAGGCCTGCATGCAGCAGACTGATGACATCATTGAAGGCGCTGAACTGGAGCATAAGGGCAGCTTTTTGAGGCTAAAAAGGTGGAGCTTTTCTAAAAAAAAAAATGATCCTGTTGCTGTGTCCCGGGCCAGGGATTGCTTCATGCAGACTTGTCAGGATACCTTAAGGAATGACTCTCCTCCAAACCAACAACATCACACGTGGGCGTTACCTAGGGCGGTCTGCATGCAAATACAGCCTGCCTAGGAACGCCCACTCCTCCAGAAGGACACCCACCCATCAAAGCATTTTGATATTTGCATAACTCCTCCCACTGCTAGCATCAGGACTGAGGGCACTTGAGAGGAGTACTGAGATGTGATGTTTTCACTTAGCTCCTCCCACCAGCTATGATCTTCCTGCATTGCTTAGAGAAGCACAGAGACCCAGTGATATAATTAGCATCAGTGTCGGGTCAAGGTCATCTAGCGCCCTGGGAGAAGATACCAAATGGTGTCGTCCCCCCCCCCAAAATGTATAAGCATTACATGGCAGCAAAAAAAACCTCTCCCCCCCAAAGAAAAATCTGAGCACTAATCTGCACCCTTACCTCCTAAGCGTAAATTCCCAAGCCAAAATTCTCCCCCAAAATAATTCTCTTCCAGTACAAATCCTCTCCATTCCCAACTCCCCCCTCCAGCACAATTCCTCTATCTCTCAAATTTCATCTCCGTACATAAATCCCCCCCCCCCCCCCACGAAATCCCTTCTCCTAGGACTTATCCCCCCACAAATCACCCCCCCCCCCCCATGAAATCCCTTCTCCTAGGACTTATCTTCCCACAAATCACCCTCCCCCCCCCATGAAATCCCTTCTCCTAGGACTTATCCCCCCCTCCAAATTTCCCCTCCTAGCACAAGTCCCCCTTCCTAGCACAAATCCACTCTCCCTCCTGATCCCCCATTCTAGTACAACCCACCAAAATCCCCACCGTGCCCAGGGCAGCCGCCCCTCCTGCCCACCCCTTGTCCTGTCCCGGATTATCATGTAGATGAAGGGGGGGGAGAAGGGAAGGCAAACTATAATCATTATTGTTGCCACTATAGTGTGGAAAATGTATGCAGGACCCGTACCTTCTCCTCAGTCCCCGCCCACAAGGAGCTTACAATCTAAAGCCGGCCATACACTGGTAAAACGTCATTTGAAATGTTTCGATTTTCTAGCATGCGGCCATAATGACAGGTCCTCTTTAATACAGGCCAGCCTTGTATGTTCATTGTGGCCTCTGCTGAGCTCCTGATACAATGTAACCATACATGATACAATCTGATTGTACAATCTCCTTTAGATCTACTATCAGCCATGTAGGTCAAGGGCAGGTCTGATTGGATAGTAATTGATTGGTGGAATGTTTAGGTTTGTCCTTCTAGGATATTGTTTTGGTGGAGCTAAAAGAGATTGTACAATCTGGTTGTATAGTGTATGGCCGGCCAGCCAGTAGTATATATTATTATTATTATTATACAGGATTTATGGCGCCAACAGTTTGCTCAGCTCTTTACAATATATAACGGGAGACAATACATGAGACAGTACAATAACAATACAATACAATACATGAGGGGATCGAGGGCCCTGCTCCTTGGAGCTTACAATCTAGGAGGGAGGGGATGGTGGCACAGGAGGAAATAGCTGTGGGGGATGGGGTGGTAGGAAGAGTGGAGGAGGTCGGCAAGTTAGCAGAGGGTGGGGTAGGCTTCCCTGAAGAGATGGGTTTTCAGGGTGCCCCTAAAGGTGAGGAGGGTAGGTGATAGTCCGATGGATTGGGGTAGGGAGTTCCAGAGGATGGGGGAAGTCCTGGAGATGAGCATGGGAGGAGGAGACCAGGGAGCTAGAGAGTAGGAGGTCTTGTGAGGAGCGAAGAGCACGTTTTGGGTGTTATATGGACATCAGGTCGGTGATGTAGTTATATATTATCGGTGGGGGGAGGGGTGTTCTGGCATGTGAACAGCCCCATCCAGCTGTTATTTTAACGTTCAGAGGGGTGGGGTAAAACCACAGCTCACCCACCTAATTTTACCACAACCCCAACTGTTTACATATTTATGGACCTTCGCAGGTCCAGAACTGTTATTGAGCAGAATTAAGTTTGGAGCCCATGGATGGAGGAGCAGTAATAGTTGGGATTGTTACATTGTATCAGTGTGTGTGTGTGGGGGGGGGGGGGGTCCAGGCAGAATGCCATAGATGGAGAATCAGGAAGTTGTTACATTGTATCAGTGTGGGGGGGGGGGGGGTCCAGGCAGCATACCATAGATGGAGCCCATGGATGGAGGATCAGTAATAGTTGGGATTGTTACATTGTATCAGTGGGGGGGATGGGGGGGTCCAGGCAGGATGCCATAGATGGAGCCCATGGATGGAGGATCAGTAATAGTTGGGATTGTTACATTGTATCAGTGGGGGGGATGGGGGGGGTCCAGGCAGGATGCCATAGATGGAGCCCAATAGTTGGGATTGTTACATTGTATCAGTGGGGGGGGGGGGGGGATGGGGGGGGGGTCCAGGCAGGATGCCATAGATGGAGCCCAATAGTTGGGATTGTTACATTGTATCAGTGGGGGGGGGGGGGGGGGGGGGGGGGGTCCAGGCAGGATGCCATAGATGGAGCCCATGGATGGAGGATCAGTAATAGTTGGGATTGTTACATTGTATCAGTGGGGGGGGGGGGGGGGGGGGGTCCAGGCAGGATGCCATAGATGGAGCCCAATAGTTGGGATTGTTACATTGTATCAGTGGGGGGGGGATGGGGGGGTCCAGGCAGGATACCATAGATAGAGATTCGAGAAGTTGTTACATTGTATCAGTGTGGGGGGGGGGGGGGTCCAGGCAGGATGCCATAGATGGAGATTCAGGAAGTTGTTACATTGTATCAGTGTGGGGGGGTCCAGGCAGCATACCATAGATGGAGCCCAATAGTTGGGATTGTTACATTGTATCAGTGGGGGGGGGGGCTCAGATCGGACCGGGTCTCACATACACTCATCCATTCGGCTCTCACCGATTCCTCTCCGTGTTTACATCCAGCTCCTCCCACCACCTGCCGGGCGCGCGCTTCCGTGGCCCCGCCCCCTTCCCCTGTGAACACGTAGCCCCTCCCCAAGGCGCGAGTCCCGCCCTCCCTCCTCTCCCGGGTCCCGGCTGGCAGTGCTTATAACCGGGCAGGCGGGGGAGGCCGGGGATCGGCTGTGATCGCGGGACATCGGAGGACGGCATCGCTCCACGTGCACCGATCAGATCCCCCCATTCTATGTGATCCGACCCCCCCCGCCGCCCCCACTATGGGGAGATGAGCGCCCCCCGTCCTAAGTGCACCCCCAGTCTTTGATCTTTAACCCCTTCCATCCCATCTGCTACCCACCCCCATCCCTCCCCAGGTAAGTGTCCCCATCTGATCTGTGTGCTGTGATCTCCACCCCTCCCCCATAGGTTTCCAGCAAAGTCTGGCTGTAGATCATCCTCCATCATTGGGGCCCTTGCAGCCCCCCCATCACCCCACATGTGACACCCCATCTCTGTTATATATATATTTTTTTTTTTTTTAGCTGCTGCCCCTCCCTCACCGTGCCACCTGTGAGCCTGAGCAATGCCCATTATGAGGTAGGTACCCCCCCCCTCCCCCATCCAGGGTGCCCTGCAGTCCCCAATTGCTCCATCACCCCCCTTATAACGTCTCCCGTCTGTCTTGCAGCCACGGCTCGGAGGAGAGGAGCACAAAGGCCACCGGCGGCTCCAGGAAGAGGAAGGCAGATGTGCTCATTGTAAGTCCACAAAGAGCTGTGCTGGGGGGGGACCAGGGCTGTGTGTGGGCCCCGGGGCCCTTTAATTGCCCTCACCGACCTCCATTTTATCCTACAGATTCTGCAGGACCCCGATGAGGAGCTGGAGCCACAGACGGTGCAGATCACCAAAAGGAAGCAATATGAGCACAGGGTAATCTGCCGTGCCCCCCCCCAAACCCCCAACACCCCATTTATTACCATTGCAACATTTTTTAAAATTGGACTTTCTTAACTTTTCATTCTCAATATCCGTATTATCTGTGAGATCTATAGAAGTGCACGACTGCCCGCTGAGTGCTCAAATAAAACTGTGGAGGGGGGGGGGATCATCAACAGGGAAAAAAAAAAAACAATTTTCATTTATATACTATTTTTATTTAATTTGTATTGGCTTTTCTATTTTTTTTTTTTAATTTTTTATTGTGCTTTTTTTTTTTTTTTTTTTTTTTTTGTGTTTTGGTTTTTTTTTTTAACATTTTTTTAATTTTGTATTTTTTAAATTTATTTTTTATTGCACTTTGCTTCATTTTGTGTGTGGTTAAATTTTACATTTTTTCTAATCTAACGCAAATTGCAGCAAAACATAAGCACTATAAAATAGGAAATCACAAAAGTGGGGAAATAACTGCATAAATAAATAGGATCCAAATATTTTTTTTTTTTTTTTTTCTCACGTAAAAAGATCCACAAATGTAGATGTACAGAATAGTAAAAGTTAAACAAATGCTGTATAATGTTGATCAATACAGACCAGGAACACAACGTAAATATATACAATGATTCCCATCAGACTTTCCTAGGAGTGGAAGCGACATACATGATCTATTCATAAGCGCATTAAAATGGTGGATTTCCAGGAACTCGCACAATTGGTGGCAAATCTACAGCCGTACTTCTGGCCTAATATATCGGCTCAGGCAGGTCTCATGTTTGCTAATATGGACCATAAAATGCGGAAAAATCTGCGGGAATTTCCATGAAGGTTTGGTACATACCTGTGCAGTTTCAGGTTTGCAGTCCATTAACATGGCTTTCTAGGGATCACATCCTGTGTGTTGTGCCTTTTTTTGGGGGGGGGGGTTCTGTCCTACCCACAGCAGGTTGCGTGTTTGTTTCTATAGATTTCAGTGATTTCAGTCGAAAGATGGCAGAAAAACACGTTAAAAAAAAAAAAAAAAAAAAAATCGTCCACAACCTGCACAGTTGTGAACCCAGGCCTAAACATTCTTGTGGAGAGGATACAGTGTAAGGATAAAATTTTGGGGGAGGGGAGGGAAATTTCAGTAAAGGGCAGTGAATAGATAAAAGTACCACTGAAATCACAATGTGATTAGGGCACCTAAAACTGTGTGACCCTATAAGAAATGTGTGAATGGGTTGTGTGGGATTTTTATATTTTTATATATATATATATATATTATTATTTATATATATATAAAATTTTCATTTAAAAAAAAAATTTGTGGGTTTTAATATATTTACTTTTGTTTTATTCTACGAAATGTAATTTTTAAAACACTTTTTTTTTAATATAAAATTTTATTAAATTTTGTGTTTTGTTTTTTTTTTTTTTTTGTTTTTTTTTATTTAGAGATAATTAGTATTCAAAAAATTATTTGTAGAATTTAAATACCTTTTTTTTTTATTATGTATTCAAAAAAAAATCTTATTTCTAGAATATAAATACATTTTAAATTTTTTTTTATTATACACTTTTTTGGGGGGGGGGGGGGGGGGGTCTATGGAAAATTAAATTATAATAAATATATATATTATATTATATGTTTTTTTTTTTTTTTTTTTTTTCTATGAAATTTAATTTTTAAAGCCTTTTTTTAATATAAAATTTATTTTGAATTTCATGATTTTTTTTTTTGTATAGATATAATTTTTTTATAGACTTTAAATACATTTTAATATATATTATATACAAAAGTCTTATTTATAGAAATATAAATTTTATTATATATTTAGAATTATTAATTTAGTTTTTTTTTTTGTGGTGTGTTTTTTTTTTTTTTTTTTTTTTTTTTTTTTTTTTTTTTTTTTTTTTACAAATTCTTATTTGTCATTTAAAAAATTTTTTTTTTGGATACAAAACCCAACCAAGGTCTGCCATAAGCATGTGTAGTTTGAGTTCCTTCACCTGGTGCTCTCTCAGCTGAACAGCTAGGACTTGTAGTCCCTCCTTGTGGTGGGATTTGGGAATATCCACATTTTATAGTGTCGGATGGAAGCATGGCGACTGATAACTGCAATAAATACGTGGATCCTGTGAATCTGTCACACGGCTTGTCTGTAGGCCTGGGAGAGCTTGGAGGATTATGTAATGCTTGTTGGCTGCTCTGAGTCACTGCTGAACTGTGGGAGGAATGCCGGGGCCTCCTTATTTATGGATCACAAAAACTTTTGTGTATTTTGACGTGTCGCTGTATGCAGTAAAGAGAATGGATGATCTATAATGTATTTAGCACTCTAGGCAATGAGTTTGGTAACAAGGGCTGCATGTGATCTGTCCTCCAGAAGTTGGGTTTTTCCTGCGCTGGATTTCAATCTCTTATCTCTAGGTGTGTCTCTATCTTGGTTACCTTCATCTATTTTTCCTTTAACGTGGAAGTAAACTCAGCAGTTCTCTGGTTCAGAAAAAAAAATTAAAGTCCCACTAGGCTACCCCTTTGGTTTTAGGTAGAGCAGTTTTGTGGTGTTTTTTTTTTTTTTTTTTTTTTCATTGCTGGACGTGTAGCCCTTCTCTTGCACAAGGTGGCGCCATGATTTTTCCATTCCTAGAAAGACCTTTTCCACCAACCCCAGATCCTTGTCAAATCCCATGTATGGGCATGACCAGTGGAATGGAGCCAAGCCTTGCTCTAGAATATCTGTTTAATGTTTGGCTGTGAGCTACCAGGGAGGGAGCAAGAAGGGGTTGATGTCGAAGGTGGGGGTCTGACGTCACCCCGGCTAGGTGCTCTGCCAGTCCCACCACTATAGAGGACCGTGAGAAAGCTTTGCATGCGCTGCTACGCATCAGAACATGTAAATGGGTCGAAACCTCTGAAAGCAACTGAATTGAAGAGGATTGGGTTCAGCCTAAATTTCTGTGCCAGAAACCACGTGCCTATTGACGCAGTTTTGCCCCACTTGCTAGATTATGATGCCTTCATTACATGTAACATTGTCTTGTCTTTTGCTGCACACAATTTCCTAGAGGCTGATGATGCATTAAAATGTCCTGACTCCAGGCTCCCACCGTACGGCTAAGCCCATGGAGGGCGGGGCAGAATGTGACGGGGGTGTGGTTTCTTGGAAGAGACTTGTAGTCTGAAGCGTATCCGATGTGTTTTTATGCATTAGCTGCTACAAAATTGTGTGCGGCAGAGCAATGCTATATGCAATGAAGGCACCATAATACGGTGGGCAGGACGAAACTCGTTAGGGGGCATGTGGTTTCTTGGCAGTCTTGTAGTCTGAAGTCTATCCTAGATGTGTTTTTATGCATCATCAGGTGCTACAAAATTGTGTGCGGCATAGCATTGCTTTATGTAATTAAGACACCATGATGTGGTGGGCAGGACGAAATGCGTTTGGGGGCGGGCTGCGCAAGTGGTTTCTTGGCAGAGACTTGTAGTCTGCAGCCTATCCTGGATGTGTTCTGCCTCTGCTGCACTCCAATTTTGTAGCAGATGAATAACACATCTAGGATAGGCTTCAGACTACAAGACTGTCAAACCACATGCCCCCTAACGAGTTTCGTCCTGCCGACCGCATTATGATGCCTTCATTACATATAAACACTGTTCTGCCTCTGCTGCACTCAATTTTGTAGCAGATGAATAAGTGTTTTATATGTAATGAAGGCATCATAATGCGGTGGGCAGGACGGAACGCGTTTGGTGGGGGGGGGGGGGGGGGGGGGGGCATGTGGTTTCTTGGCAGACTTGTAGGCTGAAGCCTCTACATCTAACAGATTTGAAGTTTAGAAGTGTTTACTGCATATATTCTGATTTTGAAGAGGATCGGCTTCAGTCTACATGTCTCTGCTAAGAAAACCATGCCCTCTGACACATTTTGCCCTGCTAACCTGGGGTGCTTGGTCATAGAGAGGGGAGGGCTGGAGCCGGATGAGGATGTTTTGGCCATCGACTGCTACAAAATTGTGTGCAGCAGGACAGGTGAACATGGGTATATAATGACTGCACCATAATGCAGTGGGTGTGACGGAACGCGTTGGGAGGGTGGTGTGTATGTGGTTTCTTGGCAGACATTTTTGTCGAAGCAGATTTCTCACATGTTATGGTGGCTGGGTCGGGAAAGCACCTGCAGGCAATGGTGCTGTTTACATGGCAGTGATACTATATAGCCATCTTTTCCAACCTTTTTTACCACCAGAGGAACTTAAAAGTTCAGGTCTGGGGGAACACTGGGTTAAAGTAAATTATTCAGGGTTTATTGGGGAAAAATGTTCCTCTACATCAGTGGTCTCCAAACTGTGGACCTTTGCTTGCTGTAATCCAGGCCTTGGGGCACCACTTTATCCACTGACACCAACATGGCACCGTTTTCCCCCAATGAGGCGGCACAGTTCCTTCTAGTGGTGGGAAAACATTCCTCTGACACCAAAGATGGGCATTGTTTACTCCCACTAATGGCAGGAATTTTTCTACTCCTAATGGCCACAGTCTGCCCCACCCCCTAAAGTCTGAAGGATCCAGAAACTGGCCCTTTGTTTGGAGACCTAAAGGAGAGATCAGTTGTCCACCGTGTAAGGGTTTCCTACCAACCTCTGGAGGAACCCTAGGGTTCCATGGAACCCTGGTTGGAAATGGTGCTTCATGGTGTACTACAAAAGGAAACTCCCTTTTTGTTGTGGTATCTGAATGTGTCTTTTGGCTTCATTAAAAACGCCCCAAGACATTCCCTTTCACAGCAACCCGAAAAACAGCAGACCCTCCTGGACCCTCAGTTTATCATCGAGAGCACGAATGGACCTTAAAACAAGGCAGCCATTAATAGGAACTCTGAATTTTAGACAATCCTTTCCATAGACTGAGATGACCTTGACCTATAGCAGCGACATCAGACATTTCTGGATTTTTGTTCCACACCAAAATGGCGGCCACCATTTACAAACCAGTACACTAAACTTTTCATTCTGGTTGTTTTAAGATGCATTTGTCTTATTTAGAGGGGGAGGAACGAAATGTATAAGATGACCCGCATGGTTTTTGATTTGTGCTTCTTTTTAGGGCACTTGGCGTAGCGAGAGAGTGTGTGAGAGTCTCTACAGGTTCATTCCCACCCCTGAGAAGGAAGACAAGGCCGCTCATCCCACCTCCTGCCCTCCATACCCCAAGCCTCAAGTTCCGATCAACAACAGTATCTCCTCTTCCACAGCTTAGGTAGGTTTGGGTAATGGGGGTGTGATTTCTATTTTTTTAACATCTGACACTCCCAGAAGTGTCAAATGTTGACTTGGCCAACAAAGGCTACAATGCTGAATTGGAGGGGGGGGGACATGGACTTCCAAGTAGAATACCTCTTCCACTGCATGGGTGGGTCAATTTGACTTTTTTAGATACCTGACTAATGAAAGGGGCGACATCCGTCCATAAAACAGATGGCCGCGGTTTGCCGAGGAGATCAGATTTTGGTTTAGTCCGAACTCATCCCTTCCCCCCACCTATGCTGGGTTTCCCGATCTGTAGAAATTCATCTTCATGGGAAGGAAGTATCCCAGAAGACCTGCTTCTCCCCCTTGAGACGTCTCTCCTTCCTCTGGGATTTCACCAGATCTGTGACCTCCATCCTAACATACCCTCAGCCAGATACATTTTGTTACATTGTGTAAATCAGGAGTGTTCCTCGAAGCGGGTTCCTTGTTAAACCCGGGGATGACAGATCCTCTTGGGCTTGTTTTATGCTCTCTAGAAACAGAAAACTTCTTTCTTTTTTTAAGTTGTCCTTTAGTTCTCACTAGGAATCTGTAACCATGGTGACGGTCTGGGCGCAGCCTCAAATCTCGTAAAAACTTGAATGAAAAGCTGGCGTCGTAGACTAGGTCTGAGCGGAGGAGTCGTGTGCAGCCACTTGTTAAAGCAGATCTCCAGCTAGGACCTTCAGAGTTTCTGATAATTGTGGAAGGGTCCTATCCCTCTGGGGTGTTTTTTTTTTTTTTTTTGTGTTTTTTTTTTTCTCCCTTTTTTGAGATTTCACCTCCATTTCTGCCTCGTTGCTGATATGGAAGGTGAGTCGCCTTCTAATAGCCAATGGCTGGATTGCCTTTTATATTGGGGATTTTTTAACGCCTGAGGCTGTTAATCACATGCTGTGTGCTGGTGCATATTGCAGGTTCTTTTTATTGTACAACATGTGCGTGGCCAATTGTCATCTTTGTTTGGATATATATATATATATATATATATATATATATATATATATATATATATATATCTATATCCACTAAATTTTTGACTAGTTATTTTGTTTCAAAACAAACCTGTGCTTTTTTGTCAATGCAAGGCAAATCAACAGAGGCCCTTAAAGGGCAGGTTTATCAGTAGAACATAGGAGGATACCTTTCGCTGCTCCAAAGCTGTTGGCTCCCAGAAGTACAGAGAGAAGCTCTCTACTTCAGGCTAGAAGTATGTGACTTACTTGCTGATTGGTCACTGAGGTGCCCAGTGGTGTCACATGTGGTGAGAGTGTCATTGGCTTTGGGCAAGCTCCAGGTCATTGCTGAATAGTGGAGGGTAACCTGCACTGCAAAGAGGGCTGTGAACACACCTAGGCACATGGGATAAATGGGTTTATAAAAGTGTGTGGGGTTTTTTTTTTTTTTTTTTTTGCAAGGTACATGCACTGTATGTGCTTTTCGGGTGCAATTACCAGACTGCAATGCACATGCGCTGATACCATGAGACCTGCTATAATGTGATTGGTTCTCGTGGTGAATGAGCCTTATTGACCCTCCTGGTGTTCTCCATACATGTTCTCTTCCAGCTGGGCTAACCAGGACGAGGTGTGGAGGAACATGTTACACAAAGACAGAACCTATCCACGGGATAAGAACTTCTTGCAGAGACATCCAGAGCTACAGCAGAGCATGAGGGCCGTCCTGCTTGACTGGCTGATGGAGGTGGGTTGTGTTACCATGTTGAAGCTGCACACTGGCTGGGGTTTATTGCTGGTCTATTGCAGTGGCGTACTAAGGGGGGGGGGCTGCGATCCGCACCAGGTACCAACTCGCTAGGGGTGCTGTAGCATGATTATTCATTTTTTTTTTTTTTTTTTTTTTTTTTTTTTTTTTTTGGCAACACAAACAAAATGTTGGGTGGCCACAGCACCCCAGTGAGTGTGCACCAAATGCTCGCCTGACACAGCAGTCCAGAGTGCGGAGGCTCCTTCCCTGCATCGGTCATGTGATCGAGCCAAGAAGACTTCTCTCAATCTGAACTGCATCTGGCCTAATATTAGTTTGGGGGAGGGAAACTGCATCTAATTTTTGGTCTGTGTGAAAGGCAAAAACAGATGTTCTGAGTATATTCTATGTGGATTGAATGTGTAAATGGGTAAGGGTGAATGCCGAGTTATGGTCACTAGATGGAGCTTACTTATTTCCCTTAATAGCCATTACCATCTAGCAGCCATAATGTGGTATTTTTTTTCCCATTGATCCATATGATCCCCAGAGAATTGTCCTAATAGCACAGGACGTGTGTGTTAGTTATTTAATCACTATTGCCAAAATTATTTGGCCACCTGCCTTTAAACGCACATGACTTTTATTGGCCCCCCAGTCTTAGTCCGTAGGGTTCAATATTGAGTTGGCCCCGCCCTTTGCAGCTATAACCGCTTCAACTCTTCTGGGAAGGCCGTCCACAAGGTTTAGGAGGGTGTCTATGGGAAGGTTGGACCATTCTTCCAGAAGCACATTTTGTCAGGTCAGACACTGATGTCAAGAAGGCCTGGCTGGCAGTACTTGCCTGACTGCATTGTATAAAGTTTGGAGGGGGGGGGGGTATTTTTCAGGGGTTGGGCTTGGCCCCCTAGTTCCAGTGAAGGGAACTCTTAAGGCAACATTTTGGACCATTTCATGCTCCCAACTTTGTGGGAAGAGTTTGGGGATGGCCCCTTCCTGTTCCAACATGACTGCACACCAGTGCACAAAGCAAGGTCCATAAAGACCTGGAGGAGCCAGTTTGGGGTGGAGGAACTTGACTGTCCTGCACAGAGTCCTGACCTCAACCCCATAGAACACCTTTGGGATGAATTAGAGTGGAGACTGTGAGCCAGGCCCCCTCCTCCGACATCAGTGCCTGACCTGACAAATGTGCTTCTGGAAGAATGGTCCAACCTTCCCATAGACACCCTCCTAAACCTTGTGGACGGCCTTCCCAGAAGAGTTGAAGCTGTTATAGCTGCAAAGGGCGGGGCCAACTCAATATTGAACCCTACGGACTAAGACTGGGGGGCCATTAAAGGTCATGTGTGTGGAAAGGGCGGGGCCAACTCAATATTGAACCCTACGGACTAAGACTGGGGGGCCATTAAAGGTCATGTGTGTGGAAAGGGTGGGGCCAACTCAATATTGAACCCTACGGACTAAGACTGGGAGGTTATTAAAGTTCATGAGCGTGGAAAGGCAGGTGGCCCAATACTTTTGGCGATATAGTGGTAGATTTAATTTTTAATGCTACCTTTTTTTTTTACACACCCCTAAATTTTAATTTAAAAATTTTTTTTTTTTTTTTTTTTTTTTTTTTTTTTTTTTGTCTGAACTTCTAAAAGGTTTGACTTGGTAAATTTTTTTAAAGGGAAATCCTACAATCATTTGTGTATAAAATGTCCATCAAATCGTGGAACAGAGCATATCGTGCATAAATAACTCCTTTATGCCTGGAGGGGAAGGAGGGGGTCAGTGATCATGTGACCACCCAGATTGGCCGGCTGTGGTCACATGATCAGGAGCCGCTCCCAGCAGCTGACGATCGTTCGTGTGGACTGAGATCTTTGTCGGCTCGGTCTCCATGCTGGGAGAGTGCACTCCATTGCATTGCAGTGCTGTCCATTGACCTGTGGTGTGTTGGCATTCAAGTCTTCCCTTTTCCTGCTTCACATATAAAATTCACCTGTTGCACAGAAAAGTTGACCTCACCCTTGTCATACATTTTAATTTTGGGTTTTATTTGTTTTCATTTTTTTTTTTTTTTTTTTTTTTTTTTTTTTTATCTCAGGTGTGTGAAGTCTATAAACTACACAGGGAGACTTTCTACCTGGCCCAAGACTTCTTCGACCGATTTATGGCCATCCAGCAGAATGTGGTGAAATCCAGCCTGCAGCTCATCGGCATCACTTCATTATTTATCGCCGCCAAGCTGGAGGTGGGTACCGCCGTGCCTCTGGACTGTTACAATCCAGCCAAATAGAATTAATTTGGGGTCTGTATCTTCATGTCTGAGATATTGCAGACCAAAGCCGTGGCATTCCGCTGCAGGGCATTGCTCGGGTTTCTGGTTGAAACAAAGTCTGTCCGGTGTCTTCTGTCGCAGGAAGCGACTTTGTTCTCATCACCTTTGTTTTGTATTTGTAGGAGATCTACCCCCCGAAGCTGCATCAGTTTGCCTATATTACAGACAGCGCTTGTACGGAGGACGAGATCATCTGCATGGAGCTGATCATCATGAAGGTGAGTGATGAATAGGAGATGGCTCTTTAGTGACTGTAGAACTACAATACCCAGCATGACCTGATACCCTTCAGTTCTGAGACTCAGTGGCATCCCTAGGCAAGTGCGGGGGGGGGGGGGTGCACGCCGCACTGGGTGACACCTATCGCATGGGGTGACACCGGACTCCCTTCACGGAAAGTTACATTTAAAGCAAGCCGACGATCCCCCGCAGGATGGATCGGATCTGTGGACTGAGATAATGGATCGGAGTCTGATCCATTATGCTCCACAATCCGCAGATCCGATCCATCCTACGGGTATTGTCAGCTTGCAACCTATACGGGGTTAACTGATCTCTCCACAAAAAGGTAAGTTTTAAAGCAAGCGGACAATCCCCGCAGGATGGATCGGATCTGCGGATGAGCATAATGGATTGGAGTCCGATCCTTTATGGTCCCCAATCCGCAGATCCCATCCATCCTGAGGGGATTGTCCGCTTGCTTTAAAACTTACCTTTTTGTGGAGAGATCAGTTAACCCCGTATAGGTTGCAAGCTGACAATACCCGTAGGATGGATCGGATCTGCGGATTGTGGAGCATAATGGATCAGACTCCGATCCATTATCTCAATCCGCAGATCCGATCCTTCCTGCGGGAATTGTCGGAGGGGTGACGCCAACCCTTGGGACACCTCTGCTGGGACTGTTCATCTTATGCAGCTGAGCAGTACAGGTACATAGATGAGATTTTTACTACAAAGCAATGTCTGTCCTGCTTTTGCAGGCAAACATGATTCCAGCCCAGTAGTGAACAGGCCCTTTACATTCTATTTAAGAGGACTTGTCATAGGAGCAGCTGCCATTTCTGGGCTCCTGGAGATTCTGGAAGTTTGGCTTGAATATTTTCTTAGTTGGACCCAACACCTGCATGCGGCAAGTGACAGTTCTGGGCAGAGCACATGTTCACTTTAATGCTTTCGTTGCCACCCACATGGCGGCAGTGGCAGATTCCACACACCCTTGTGTGCATGTCGGTCCTTGGAGCCAGCAGTGAGCTCTGAAGTGTACAGCTGCCTGATCGCTTCCATAGATCCCCAGTAGTGTGTCCACCCCACTGTGTGTCCGAGATGGTGGTATGTTTGGTACGGCTTTGTATGTTTGGTATCCATTCACTTGGTGCAACCTCCCATCCCTTAATTAATGTGCAATGCAACAATATGGAACAACCAACATTTTATTCTCAAGGGTCTCTGCTATCAAAAATGTTTGGGGGGGGGGGGGGGGGGGGGGTTCAGTATTCTTTAGATCTAAAACTATATATTTTTAATGTGGAAAAGTGACTGACAGCAAATGGCTAAATCCACAGCTAAACTACATACTGTATGTGAGAGCTGCTACTGGCCATATGAAGTGTCCCTTTGGGCTGGCACCTCCTGGCCCTTTAAGGTGGTTCTGATGCCAGAGGGTGGGGTTTAGGATCATGTGACTGCCGTGATTGGGTCACATGATCGGAAAGGTCCGTGGGACGCTGACGCATGTGCTGTGACTGGACAGAGAAATGAGAAGCTGCAGACTGAGATCTGTCACTCTGCTCTCTCCTCCTAGCAGCAAGTCCTTTGTTGGCACATGAGCACTGCAGCACAACTGGTTAGCTCCTTTTTTGTTCTGCTTATCCTCTCCCAGTCTTGGCTGGGTTGTGCCATTTGTTCTTTAAATGATGGTGTCCATCTATGCCTTGTCACACGGGTTTTGGCCTGAGACCTCTGTCTTCCACTCCTTTTTTTTTTTTTTTTTTTTTTTTTTTTTTTTTTTTTTTCATTTTTTGATTTGCACAGACAAGATTACATTTACCCTGATGTGTTCTTTCTAGGCACTTAAATGGTGTTTATCTCCAATGACGGCGGTCTCGTGGCTGAACATCTACCTACAAGTGGCTTATATCCGAGAGTTGCAGCATTTCCTTCTGCCGCAGTACCCCCAGGAGACGTACATACAGATAGTGGAGGTGAGTGCTCAGCTGCCATGTTTGGTGTGGAATTTGGTGTTGGGGAATCCGGCTATAACCACTCTGATCTTGTTGCAGCTGTTAGATCTGTGCGTCCTAGATGTCTCCTGTCTGCAATATCCGTACAGCATCCTCGCTGCCTCTGCGCTCTACCACTTCTCCAATGCTGAGCTGGTGGAAAAAGTGTGCGGTAAGATTTCTTGCTGTAAAAAGGACCAGCCTCGTGCCGGAGAGATCTGGAGTCCATTAACCCCCCTGGCGGTATTCCCGAGTGTAGCTCGGGGTAAAGTTTCAGTACCACAAGCGGTAACCCCGAGCTACACTTGGGCTTACCATGCGGGTGCTGCTCCACGATCCCTCGATCACTTACCTTGTCCTGCGCTCCTGCGATGTCCCCGGCCGATGCCGTCATCTGGGTTCCCATTCCCTGCGAGCGTCAGGACGTACGGGGGACAGAATGGCGGGAAATTTGAAAATGACAAAGTGACATTCACTAAAATCACATAGTATAACATTCCTGTATCAAACCATTTCACATACATTTTGTCCCGAGTGCTTTGTCCGGCACCCTGCCTGCATTTTTACTGTTCTTTCTGCCTGGAAACTGAGAAACATCCATGGCGTCCAAAAAGCGTCCCTTTAGGTCAGACGCGGTTTTAGACCGGCTAGAGAACAGCGATAGTAAATCAGAACCACTTGCAGAATTGAGTGATAATGATTCGTGGGGGAAATTCCTCATCAGACACTGAAAACGATTCTGCGACTTTGCTCAGCGATGCGTGAACTTGGCGCTCTGTTTCACATTTCAGTGATTATATTATTGAATTAAACTCATTATTTTATTTATTAAATTATAATTTATGATTTTGTGTTTCAAGTTTTATCCTACCCGGGATGTTTACTAGACTCTTGTTCGGACAGATTTCAGTGAGTTATTCCTAAGAATTACAGGCCAACAAAAAAAATACATATTTCCATGCAAAAAAAGTACCGCTTTGAGACAGAAATACTGACATAATCAGACCGCTAGAGAGGTTAAAGGGACCCTATAGTAAAAAAAGATAAAGGTGGGGGGTCTTCAATTCTTCTGTTTCCTGCTATAGCTGAATGCTGAGCCGTTCTGATGGGCAAAGCTTTTAACACTTCTGATACATCAGTGGGAAGAATGCTTCTTGCACTCGTGGTCATTGGGAGGAATTGCCCCCTTTTTAGATGGCTAAAAAGGTCCATGGTGTCAGGATCTTATCTGAGATGCAGAAATTGGTCATTGCTGAAGGAACCCCTGGAAGACGACTGTTTTGAGAGCTTGCACAGAGGCACAGGCAAAATGCTGGAGGGAGAGTGCAGGAGCTGAATGTTGCACCTTCACTCCACTGATTGCAGGTACAATGCATTAGAAAAAAAAATGCTGGGGTTTTTGGTTGCGTTTTTTTTTTTTTTTTTTTTTTTTTTTTTTGTTTCTTCTTCCTAAAAGGTGAACTTGGCCTTCTTAATAGTAATCCAATGCCATACCTCCAATTTTTTTTGTTTCTCATACCCCAAGGGGTAGGGAATACCCTGATTAGAACCCTTGTTTGAACCTGTTAGCCAAGGTTCACACTACAGCGGTGCGGTAAATCCCATGTGATTTTGCCCAGGAACCGCACCGCATTCCTGTGCTAATCTCATGCTTTTTTACATGCGGTGCAGTTGGAGCCATACATTTTGTATGGCTCTATTCGCACCGCACCTGCACCAAAAAGGAGCGGGACCCTTTTTTGGCTCCGCACTAGAATCAGATCGCATAGGTATTCACACCCATGGAATCAGATTCTGCACATCGGTTTTGTGGACTGATGTCGGGGTGTTAACTTAACATGCACACCTGCATCGGTTTCGTATGAATGGGGTGCGATTGTGATGCGGTTCAGAATTCGCACTGACATCGCTGCCAATTCTGCACTGTATCAGTGTGAACCCAGGCTTAATGTTCAAAGGTGGCAGAGGTTTCTTTTCTGAGTGCTCCAAGCGGTCTCTAGTAATCAGTAGGGACCAGTTGCAGATCATGTGATCAGGCAGTCCTTACCACTCCCCTGGGGTGTAAAGACCCAGTTAAAGGAATGCCAGAGCTGGGTGGGAAGGGGTTAAAATGTGCCCCAGAAACCTGTTTATATGTGCTGGGAGGCTGTTCATAATAAGATGGATCTATGTAGGATTTCTTTCCTGCTTTTGGCCCTTGTGAAGCATTTTATCTGATCAGCACTGTTTGTATGTATTATGCTTGCATTTCCAGGCTATGAGTGGACGGAGCTGGAGGATTGCATCAAATACATTGTGCCCTTCGCTATGGCCATAAGGGATGCCGGGAAACAGTCCAAAATGAAGCTCTTCCGAGGGGTGGACATCGAGGACATGCACAATATCCAGACACACACGGGTTGCTTACAACTGCTGGTCAGTAGTGTGTGTTTGTTTGTTTTTTATTTATTTTTTTAATTTATATATTTTATAACTTTTTCTTTTTTGTATTTATTATTATTATTATTATTATTATTATTATTATTATTATTATTAGATATTTTTTATTTAACTTCTTCTACCCCTTTCAGGATATGGCTCAAGCTAAGCAGGAACAGTTGAAGGAAGAGAACAGAATCATTCCAGTCCCCAACGGAGTCCTGACCCCTCCACAGAGCGACAAGAAGCACAGGACCCTGGACTCTGAATGACTCTGCCATACCTTGGACTCTTAGCATGACGGGAGGTGCCTTCAGGGGGTGCTACAAGCTGTTTTTTTTTTTTTTTTTTTTTTTTTTTTTCATTTGTTTTTATTTGCTTTTATGAACTTTGTTTTATCGGACTGCACCTGCTGTGGCCTGCCTCCTGTCAATGGCAATGCTACTTTATTTTATTTTTTTTTTATTGGCCATGAAAGACCAATTTTTTTTTTTTTTTTAATGCTGCTACAGAAAATGCTGCTTGAGGAAGGGGATGGATTGTGGTGAGGAAAGTAATGCGTCATGGGAGGGTCTTCTGTTCTAGAACTCTTCTGGGGTGTCAGGTGTACTTGTTGGTGTGCAATGTTCATGGTTTTTTTTTTGTTTTTTTGTTTTTTTTTTTTTAAGCTCTCCTTTCACTTTTTTTTTGTTTTTTTTTCTAATTTTTATTTTTTTCCTATTTACACAATCTGTCCCAATTTTTTAAAAAATAATTCTAGAGATGCTGCTATCTTTTATTTTGTTTTTAATAAAAAATAAAGATGCTGTCTTGAAGATGGCTGGAATTTCTGACAAGTGTTCTGAAGTAGGATTTGTTTTTTTTTTGGTATGTGGTGGCTGTTTTTTGATTTTTATAAAATTGGAAGAAAAAAAAAAAAACCCTATTGGACAGATGTCACTTGAACAAGTGCTCTCATTGGAAGATTCTCTTTTCCTCCTGGTGACAACTGTAAAATCTGACTTTTTTTTTTTTTTTTTTTTTTTTGTCACCAGTACAAATGAAGACTGTTAATCTTCCAGCTAGAATAGACCGCAATAAAAAAAATCTCAAGTTCTAACTCTTCCCCCACACTATACAAAACCAATGTTTTTATTAAACTTTTTTGCCAGATGCTTTAAGTTACTATTTTTGCTCTTTTTCACACGGTGAAATGCACATTGTTAAGCTTGAATATTAAAGTGGATCTTCACTCTCTCAACCAACACTGGTTATTTTTAATCCTTATGCTGCTGACATTATTAAATCAGTAGGAAAGTATTATATTTTACTGGTGGAGAAATTTTTTTTTTTTTATATTCAATTACTTCCTGGCTTCTGGCCTAGGCAAATGTCATGTTTCCCAGGAGTCTTCAGGAGGAGAGTGAGGGTTCTTGCCTCAGTCTGTGGTAGAGCTAAGGGCAGATGGATTCCAGGAAGTCGTTGCTACAAGAATCGTCTGCTCTTACTCAAGATATGCCAGGGGCGTGTTTTTTGGGTTTTTTTTTTCCTGTTTGGGCAAGGACACAGGGCCCCCATGATCCCCCTATTGCCCGGGGGCCCCATGAGTTGTCAGTCTGCCCCTGGTTGTGAGGATATGAATGATTTTACGAACACATGTCAATGTTGCAAAATTGTGCTTAGGCATTAAGATTTGTTTTTACCCTTGGGTGGGAAGGGGTTAATCAATTACAATATGACTTATGTCGCAATTGTATATGCTAGATTATTTTATTTGCTCTTTACCACCCCCCTTCCCCCACACCCCACACAAAAGTGGAGTTGATCTCATCAGGCCATGTGGTCTATAACACTTTTGAAGCCAAATGGTCCTCCTGCAGATAATATTTCAGCCTGGAATGGCCGGTTTCTATATATAACAATGGGTGATCTGACACCAGGATCAGATCATCACACGGCTACAACAGAATCCATGGAATGCAGGAAGGGATGATCTGTGGACTTCTGTGCTTTCCAACACCTGAAAAAAGAGGGGAAATAATGAAAGGGTAAGTTCACCCTAATATCTCACCCCTTGCATTCCAGCACATTACATACCATGCGTCCTATTCCCTTCATACATACATGATGTTGCATTCCAGCACATTACATACCACGCCTCCTGTTCCCTTCATACATACATGATGGTGCCTTCCAGCACATTACATACCACGCCTCCTATTCCCTTCATACATACATGATGGTGCCTTCCAGCACATTACATACCACGCCTCCTATTCCCTTCATACATACATACATGATGGTGCCTTCCAGCACATTACATACCACGCCTCCTATTCCCTTCATACATACATGATGGTGCCTTCCAGCACATTACATACCACGCCTCCTATTCCCTTCATACATACATGATGGTGCCTTCCAGCACATTACATACCACGCCTCCTATTCCCTTCATACATACATACATGATGGTGCCTTCCAGCACATTACATACCACGCCTCCTATTCCCTTCATACATGATGGTGCCTTCCAGCACATTACATACCACGCCTCCTATTCCCTTCATACATGATGGTGCCTTCCAGCACATTACATACCACGCCTCCTATTCCCTTCATACATGATGGTGCCTTCCAGCACATTACATACCACGCCTATTCCCTTCATACATGATGGTGCCTTCCAGCACATTACATACCACGCCTCCTATTCCCTTCATACATGATGGTGCCTTCCAGCACATTACATACCACACCTCCTATTCCCTACATACATACATGATGGTGCAATCCAGCACATACATACAGTACATACCATGCCTCCTATTCCCTTCATACATGATGGTGCCTTCCAGCACATTACATACCACGCCTCCTATTCCCTTCATACATGATGGTGCCTTCCAGCACATTATATACCATGCCTCCTATTCCCTTCATACATGATGGTGCCTTCCAGCACATTACATACCACGCCTCCTATTCCCTTCATACATGATGGTGCCTTCCAGCACATTACATACCACACCTCCTAATTCCTTAATACATACATGATGGTGCATTCCAGCATATTGAGCACATTACATACCACACCTCCTATTCCCTACATACATACATGATGGTGCAATCCAGCACATTACATACCATGCCTCCTATTTCCCTTCATACATACATACATACATACATACATGATGGTGCCTTCCAGCACATTACATACCACGCCTCCTATTCCCTTCATACATACATACATGATGGTGCCTTCCAGCACATTACATACCACGCCTCCTATTCCCTTCATACATGATGGTGCCTTCCAGCACATTACATACCACGCCTCCTATTCCCTTCATACATGATGGTGCCTTCCAGCACATTATATACCACGCCTCCTATTCCCTTCATACATACATGATGGTGCCTTCCAGCACATTACATACCATGCCTCCTATTCCCTTCATTCATACATACATACATGATGATGCATTCCAGACATACCATGCCTCTTATTCCCTCCATACATGCAAAGGAAAGAAAAAAAAAAAAAAAAACTTTAGAAGCTGACCCCCTTAATGGTAGGAGGGGGTATATGTTGGAAATATTACCCCCCAGCGGCCGATCTGGCTTGTTCAATAGGTGCGCTCCCTCCTTGAGCTGCACCTGAGAGAGAATGCACTGCGCATGCGTGGTATTTGAGTAAAGCAGCTGCTGGGGGCTAGCCCATACTGCCATTAGGTTGGGGGGGTTCAGCTACCAAATAAGGTTTTTTTTTTGTTTTCTTGGACAAGCTGGGCATTGCCTACCTGTATGGAGAGGAGATGGGAAGTGATTTTAGCAGCAGAGGAGTGGTAGGTGGATGCTGGAATGCGAGGCGGGTGGCAATTAAAGTGGTTGTAAACCCTTTCAGTGAAGTGACCGGCCTCAGGTGATAAAGAGATGAACCAAATCCTCCTACATAAGTTGTACCTGTTTATCTGTTGGAAAGGCACATGTACGCCTAGCACAGGTTGAAGTGTGGATGGAAAGTGAGGCAACCTCAGGAAGGAAATGGAGTACAGAGAAACATCAAATGAAGATTGCAAAAAAAAAAAAGTAGCCTCCATACATAAAGAGAAGAGCAAAGCGGGTGATTCGTGTAGCATGCGGCTATATGCCAGATTTTATACTGAGGGTTTAATATCTCCAGGGCAAAAGCAGGTGAGTTTATATGCAGAATTCCCGCTGTATAATAACATCAACATCAAGGGGACTTTACTCAATGAAACAGAAGTTTTTATTTAAATTTTGATGTAGCACCCTCCTAGATAGGCGCTCGGTCAGTAGCACCCTCCTTGATAGGCGCTCGGTCGGGTAATTTTGGTTATGAACTCCATTATAATCAGTTGTGATTATTTTGGGCTGTTCTCTCTTAGTGGTTGCTGTGTTGACTGCTTCCCCCGCCTTTTTTGGAGAGTTCTGGAAAGCAGTGGACTGGGAGAGTCAAATGATCAGCTGAATATTTATACAGTTCCAGCCCATCCATGTGGGGTTGGTGCCCAGATGATGGCTGGGAGGGAGCATAAATAGTAAGAGGCCTAGAACAGAAGGGGTTCTTATCCAGAAGGAGGAGATCCCAGCCTGAAGGGCTCCTGTCCTGGGCGGCAGTCCAGTGGTGCTTACTACTGCTCATCGAAGCTATGATAGCTGGGGGGGGGGGGTTCTTCTGCTGGAATTTGCTAGAGCTGACTGGGACTTCTGTTTTAGGATCTGAAGACTTCACAGTGGAGCTGTCCGGAAGAAATTGGAAGGAGGCATCTAATTATCTTCCTTCAAATGGTCACCAGAGTGTGTACCACCACCAAATAATCGAATGTAGGCTTACCAGAGATGGAGACCCCTTAATTATAGGGGGTCCAAACCACCATTGTGAAACAAAGAACTAGCAAGCTCTCTCCGTGTCATGCCCAGAACATGGATCTTCCAAACCTCCCAATTCGAATGTGGACTCAAAATGCAGTGTCAAATGAGATCATGAAAGAAAAACCATGCCTCTCATACTGCAATACAAATCAAAACTTCTTTATTTGTGCAAATGAAATCCTACTTACAAGCTATAGAACAGTTAAAAGCATTCAAACAGACCGTTTCCAAGATGGCCGACAGCACGATGATGTCAGAGGGAGGCTCTGCCCTACGCGTTTCGTCATCAATAGCCGTCCTCTAGGGGCTACAGTGCAGTGTTTAAGGTTGCTGGAGTCCCCCACAGTTACCCTGCACTCCTCCAAGGTCATGTTCTGCAATAAGCATAAAAAAA